TATTTTACATAAAATAATAATGCAAAATAATATTCACGGACCTTGTGGAGATTGGTGTTTAATTGATGGGAAATGTTCAAAAAAATTTCCAAAAAGTTACCAAGAAGAAACAGCAATTGAAGAAAATTGCTATGTTCATTGTCGTCGAAGAAATAATAATAAAGCGTATGAACGACCAAATGGATTTATTGTTAATAATTTTAATGTTAATTTAAATATTAATGTAGAAATAGTTACGAGTATCAAGTCCGTTAAATATTTATATATATATATTCTCAAAGGGCATGATGATGCATCTATTGTTAACACAAATGCGAATGGTGAGGTAACTGTTAATCATAATGAAATACATCATTATGAAGAAAATAGATATGTTTGTCAAGTTGAGGCAGTTTGGAGAATTCTAAGTACACCTTTAGAGAAAAAGAGTCATAGCGTTAAACGCTTACCCATACATTTCCCAAATGAACAGAATGTTATTATTCGAGAAGAAAAAAAAAGTAAAGGCATTTCTTTCGATTTAAATACAAAACTTCTGGATTATTTTAAACTTAACCAACGAGATAGTAATGCTCAAAAGTATTATTATTCAGAAATACCAGAGCATTATACATGGGTAACAAAATCTCTTGAATGGAAACAAAGAATTGGTAAAGAAAAAGTATAGGGAAGAATGTATTCAGTTAATCCACATCAATTGGAGTTATTTCATCTTAGATTATTGTTGCTTCCAGTAAAAGGAGCAACTTCTTTTGAAAGTTTGAGAACAGTTAATGGAGTTGTTCATGAATCTTTTACAACTGCTTGTTTGGCATTAGGGCTTGTAGAAGATGATAGTGAGTGGATTAGGACAATCGAAGAAGCTGCATTATGGATGATGCCTCATTCACTTCGCCAATTATTTACAAAAATTTTAATTCAATGTCATCCTGTACATCTGGATAAGTTTATCCGGATTATATATAAGAACAATGTAAGTGTCAAATGTCAGAAGATTATTAAAAAATAAACGACATTGAAGCTGAACAATGGGCTTGTAGAAATATTAAAACAATGTTATTTAACGAAGGATATAATTTAACTGACTGTCAGGAATGATTAGAAATACAAGATGAAATTTTTACTGAACAAGTTAACGATATAAATATTGCAGAACATATTAACATAACAGAATTATGCTAAATTAAATGTAAAACAAAAACTTGTAGTTGATTATGTACTTGATGCCCTAAAGGATTCTTTTTTTGATGGTTCTAAGTGCTTATATGTTAATGGTTTTGGAGGATCTGGAAAAACATTTTTATACATTACGCTATAGCATTTGTCAAGAAGTAAAGGAATAAATGTTTGCAGCATGGCATTTACAGGTATAGCTGCGACTCTGCTTCCTAATGGAAAAACTGGTCATAAAGTTTTAGGCTCACTCGTTCCATTATACAGTGATTTATCTTCAAACATTAAAGTTTAATCTAAAGAAGCCCACTTTTTTAAAAAAATAGATGTTTTCATTTAGGATGAAGCACCAATGGCTCCAAAATATGCTTGAGAAATTATGGATTATCTATTTAAAGATATAATGAATTCCAACGAACCTTTTGGTGGTAAAATTGTAATTCTAAGCTGAAATTTTCGACAAACTTTACCAATTAAAGAACGGGGTACTATATTAGAAATAATAAATTTATCAATAAAAAATAGTAAACTATGGAAATATTTAAAAAAATAAACATTAACAGATAATATGAGAGCTTTACCACAAGAAACGGAATTTGTCGATTTTTTACTTAAAGTTGGCAATGGCGAATTAAATGATGCAGATAATAATGTTATATTGCCAAAACATATTATTCAAAAAGAGAATTGGGTCAGAATTCGTGAAATTTTCACAGAAAATAAAAAGTATTTTTTTTAAATCGAAATGTTGAAAAAACATTTCTATTTGGCCTTAAGAATGTGTCCACCAAGAAACAGAAAAAAAATTATTTTTTATAAAAGTTATTACAAAATTAATTTTTTTGACAATTTTAAACAAAATGTTGTTTCTCCTAAATAAATAAACCGATTTAAATAAACCAAGCTGGAATATAGAAGGGAATAAAATATACTTTCGTTTAGAATTAGAAATGTTTTAAAAAGTTTATATTTTAATAATTATTTAATAAAAATTTTATAAACAATTAATTTTTTTAATGTTCTGCGCCTTTTAAAAATTTGAACAAAATATTAACGTACACTTAAAACTATAAGAAATCAAAATCCGTTGAAAAAATTTTGGAGCGACAATTATTTTAAAAGTTATAATGAAAATTATATTGAACAAAGATGCGATTTTGATGATTTTCATAAATAAAACATTATTTTTAACTACGAAATGAACAAAACACTGTAAAATTAACATTTTTAATCAATTATATAACCATAAAAATTGATAAAAATGATCAAAAACTAAGTTCAGCGTTGATGCACAACACCGCGCCAATATAATTTTCATTATAACTTTTAAAATAATTGTCGCTCCAAAATTTTCTCAACGGATTTTGATTTCTTATAGTTTTAAGTGTGTTATAATTTTTTTCAAATTTTTAAAAGGCGCAGAACTTGAAAAAAATTAATTGTATATAAAATTTTTATTAAATAATTATTAAAAAATAAACTTTTTAAAAATTTTCTAATTCTAAACGAAAGTATATTTTATTCCCTTCTATATTCCCGCTTGGTTTATTTAAGTCGGTTTATTTATTTAGGAGAAACAACATTTTGTTTAAAAATTGTCAAAAAAATTAATTTTGCAATAACTTTTATAAAAAATAATTTTTTTTTGTTTTTTGGTGGACACATTCTTAAGGCCAAATAGAAATGTTTTTTCAACATTTCGATTTTAAAAAAATACTTTTTGCTTCCTCGTGAGGAAGCTTTGTAGTCCTTTAATTTACAAAATTTTTAAAAATCCTTTCAACAAATTTTCTTTTATACGACTATGTTATTATATTAGACCCTGAACAATTGTCCGGATGTATTTATGTGTGTGTGTATGTGTATGTATATATATTTAAAAAAAAAAATTTTTTTAAGTTGGTTATTGAAGTTAATATATAATAAAATCTTATTATTTGCATCAAGACGAATCGATTAGTATATAAAAAGTATAAATTGTATGAGAATTTACAGAGTTAATCACAATTAAAGCTGAAAAATTCGTATTTTTATCAAAAAATCAAAGTTTATCAAAGTTCTTTCCGTATAAAAAAACAAAATTATGTTGCCGTATAATAAAATCTTACTCATTTATTTCTAAAATCTTATTCTTTGCACCAAGACGGATCGATTGGTATATATAAAGTATATATTGTATTTAAATTTATGGAATTAAAACCAATTATAGACAAAAAATTTGCACTTTTAATAAAAATTCATTTTTTCTTAAAAATCATGTGGCTGTACAATAAAATGTTATTATTTATTGAAAAATAAATCAAAAATCTTATTCTTTGCATCAAGACGAATGCGTATGCTTGGTTTTATAACAAGAAACGCGTCTTGTTTTCATAACATAACAGCCCTAAAAACATTATATTTTTGCTTGGTAAGATCTAATATTTAATTCTCATCAATTGTTTGGTCACCGTATAACTAGGTGTATTTGATCAAGCTCGAGAGAGTACAAAATAAATTTTTAAGATTCGCAGCAAAGCAGATGGGTGTTAGATATGATCCTTATTCACATGACTATGACAACCTTCGATCTTACTTCAAAATTCCTTTAATATCATCCAGATTTCTATATAATGACTTGCTTTTCTTATTTAAAATTATAAATAATATAATCGATTGCTCCCAGAACAGTCAACTTTTCTGCTCCTATAAGACCATCACGGCATGTTAGGCCGTTCGCGATACCTTATTCGAGTACATGTTATCGAGATAACTCAACTACGATAAGAATATGTAAATTAGCTAACTACCATGCGGATCAGCTGAATTTTTTTAATAATTCTTTGTCTAGTTTCGTTAGCGATCTATGTAAATTGTTCTTTAATTATAATAATAACGCAGCCTAATGTTTACAACATCTTTATAACTGTTAATTATTTTTAGTACTTTATGTACGAATGGGACTCAATGCCCGTAAATGAATAAATAAATACTACTGTATAAGAAAATTTTATTCTTTCTATTAAGACAAATAAACTTTATTTTATAAATGTTAAATTGTATTAAAAATGATTTAAAAATGAAATATATTTATCGGTAATGTTTCCTCTACGAGGAAGCAAATTTTTTTTGCTGATCGTCAAGAGGAAGCAAAATTAGAAACTTTTCGGTGTAAAAACGTTTTCATTTTTAATAGCAGAAAGAAAAGGGGCGTGCGTAGCGCGAAAAAATAGTGACTAGTAGTATATCAAATTGTAACACATGAATTAGCATATTCTATACATATATTTCTTTTAATATATGTTTTTAAACGCTTTCACGAAATGGTATGTTTTATAGCGCACAACTCAAATGGTATTTTTTACAATACCATTTACGATACCTAGTGACGAATTCTGTACTGTTTTTAATTAAAATTAATTTGAAGGTTTCCGTGTAACACCTGAGGTGTATTTAACCTTAAAAACCAAAATAAACATTTATTTATTTCAAGATTATGATAATATAATTATAATATTATAACTCATTCCCAAATAGCATAACATTTGAGCTCAATGTTGTGTCAATATTTCCGGACAATGTCGAGGCAATATTGTTTGAAAATGTTATAATATGTAAAAATATAATAATTATAATATTTTTAACATTTCCAGGCAATGTTGGCAATAATATCGCCATGCAACATTGTCACAATATTGAGCTTAAATGTTGTGCTATTTGGGTTATGGTAATAATAAATTATTTTCTTTATTTAATTTCAAAAGAAGTGAATTAAATATTTATTTGTTTTATTTATTTATAGAAAATCAGAGTGAATATTTTATCTAAAAATCGAAATTAAAACTTACCTCTTTTATAAGTGTTTCTCGATCCTCGTCTGATAGTCCTAAACCCAGTTTTCTAACATCACCACTTAAAGGAATAATTTTTTTCCCGAAAAATGGATTTTTTTCACGTAAAGGATTAAATATCTGTTAAAGAATTGAATTATTTATGTCATTAATATATTTAATTACTTTAAATATTTTTTTTCTAATTTATCTATTTTTCTCTATTAGAAAAATAATTTCAAATATTTTATAAAAAAAAATTACTTCTAATTTAAAAAACTCATCCAATCGTTCTTGTATTTTCTTCCCTTTTTTCGGTCTAATTAGAAGATAAATGTTTTTCAATTTCGGTAAACTACGTACAAGTTTTTCCAATAAAATTTTTCCCATAAAACCAGTGCCTCCTGTAGTAAAAAATATTACCATAACTAATTGTTTTTGAAAATAAAAGAAACATTATTTAACACAATTTAACAAAATATAAAAAAATTAAACATCTGTTTATAAAATTGAAATTAAAATTAATACGTTTGTACTATTAAGTATAAGGTTTAAAAAAATATAAAAAAATATTCAACTAATTACAATTTTATAATTAATGATTACAATAAAAATTTATTACCTGTAATAAATATACTTCGATCGTTATAAAATTCTTGAATTTGAGACATAATTAATGAAAAAGAAGTTTTTTTAATTTGTGTTCAAGTAAATCGCACAGTATGATGTTTGAAAGGTAACTAAAAAGACTCTAATTTTCTTGCTTGCAAATAAGGAATTAATTATTGAATTTTTAATTTTCATTTGCTACATATTCAAATACATGACGTATAAACCCATAGTCATTTATCTAATTTGAATTCATTTCATTTTAACTATTTGACAAAACACGAGTTCCACCTTATCATTTCATAATAAGGTTCACTTTGCAATTAAATTTCCCTACATAATAAAAAAAAGACAAAATTATTCACATTGTATTTTTTTATTGAATTACATTTAAAATTATTTTATTTTAATCACTACCCAATGGAAAACTGACATTACTTTACCATTGACATATTAATCGGCCCAATATTGGAAGCCAAAGCCCAATGGTTTTCTTTTGGTTCATTATTGGTAACCAATAACAGACCACTACTGTTAAAATCATGGAATCTTATTATTAATTAAATTAATTAATTTTTTAAGTTAATTAATTAATTAACACTAATTATTAACTGCTATTACAAAAACAATTATAAAAAAATGTTTTTATTAATATTAATTAAATAATAAAATTATTTCTTAATAATTGTTTCTTTTAAATACTTATTTGTTATTAAAAATTTTAATAATTTTTTTATTTAATTATTGTAACGAAATGGTTATTTTTTAATCACATCCAAATGTGAATAACCCTTCGTTCAGAGTAAAAAAAAACCTCACATCTAGGCACAAATAGGAGAGGTAACAGACAGAATTAAACTCAGCTAATATTCGTGAAAAAGTTACCTCTTTACTTTATGAGGCATTTTACGTGAAATGTCCTAAGTTGAAATTTCAACTTCTTGAAAAAAATTGAAACTCAGGGAATTTGTTGTTCTATCAAGTAGAAATGTGCCCCAAAAAATATTTTTGTTTTTTTTATAATTTGGAGGGGGTAGAGGGGGGTCAATTTCACCAATTTTGCTAACATCGGCTACTTTGTGAATTTTTTCTGAACTTACTTGTAATGGGAAAAATTTTTTAGAATATTTTTCTGAAAGGTTTTTTCGTCCTCTTTCCAATGATGTATTTTATTTTTTAATATTTTAAAAATTTACCTTAATTTTTAATAATTAATATTTAATTTTCAATTTCCCAAAAATCGGCCCGTTTTTTTTTTAAATAATTTATTGCAAACGAAAGCTGAGGTTTTTTCCTATCGACATGTAAATTTTCAGAATGCCCTTTTTTTGTTTTTGAGTTATTAAATTCCAAAGAATAAATTGCGGCGCGCAGCGTCGCGGTTGCACTGAGCCGCGTGGCAACCGGCGTGAGACGAGGCGCCCCACAGTGGGACCAAACTGCAATTTACTGTTCATAATAGTCTAAAGCCTTCATTTTTTAACCGATTTTACTAAACTTTGTTTTAAATGAAAGATTATTAAATTTGGAAGAGATTTGTCGAGGCCGAATTTTAAATTTTAATTTTTAAAAAATTATTTTTTTATTGCAAATTTTAACAAAAGCATCTATTTTTAAGAAAAAGTTGTCTCCAGCCTCTATAATCGAATAGCACGTGCTAAAAACTTTTTAGAAACACACCTAGAGTACTCTGTAAATTGTAAAAAATTTGTGCAGATAAATATTCGAATGTTATAAACAATTTATATTAACAAATAATTAAGTTTACAACAAATTGTTAATATGGACAAACGCTTTGATAGATTTTGATGAAATTGTATACTTAAGGCGTTTTGGGGTCGCTGTTTACGAATCCAATGTTAGTTTTTCAATATTTAAAATGGCGGATCAAATATGGCGGATGTTTTTTTAAATCGATTCAAATTGGCTAAAAATCGTTACTCCGGGGTTTTTGGGGTCGCTGATTACGAATCTGATGTTGGTTTTTCAATATTTAAAATGGCGGACCCAATATGGTGGATGTTTTTTTTAAATCGATTCAATTTGGCTAAAAATCGTTACTCGGGGGTTTTTGGGGTCGCTGATTACATATCCGATGTTGGTTTTTTAATATTCAAAATGGCGGATCCAATATGGCGGATTCTTTTTCTTAAATCGACTCAATTTGTCTAAAAATCGTTACTTGGGGTTTTTTGGGGTCGCTAATTACAAATAAGACGTCAGCTTTTAAGAATACAAAATGGCGTTGATAATATGATAAAAATCAAATTTAAATTATGTTTTATACGTTAATTTTTAATTTGATTTTATATACGTTTTTAAATAAAGGTTACAAAATTTACTGAAGATTTTTATAGTCTTGTTTTAACAATTTTATTCATTTATACTTATTTAATACTGAATAATTCAAAAATTGGACAAGTGCGAGTTGTACTCGCACTGCAATGTCGGGTTCTGTACACAAATATTAAAATAATACTTGCAACATTTATCGGTAGAGTAGAAGGGGGTAATGTAGTGCACTTTTCTTTCGAAAACTCCTGTGGTCGCAATTTTCAACCAATTTTGATCAATAAGGACTCGTTGGAAAGACAATGCTTCTAGCTACATTTATGGTGTGAATTATTTTTTTGTATACGTAGATGGAGCTTTTCTATATCCAAAAAACTGAAGGCACTTTTTTTCGACATTCTAAAATTTGTGGGGCAATGTAGTGCACCACTTTATTTGTGGAATAAAAAGCAAAGAATATATTATAAACGCTTTTATTTTATTAGATATAATATTAGGAACATAAGAAACTTAAAAAAAATATTAACTAGTAGTGATGCCCACGAGACGAGACATTGCATGTAAAAATCGAGACGAGATCGAGACTTTGCATGGTATCATCTCCTATCGTGGACAGCACTATAAACTAGAGATTTCTTTGGTCCTGCGTTAGATAAAACTGAAAGAAAACTGAAAAAATTTGCAAAAAGCAAACATGGTTAAATAATACATATTTACGGTACTCTGTATAATTGCACTACATTGCCCCCAACCCCGTGCACTAGAATGCCCCCAAGCACTTTCTTCACGTTGACTGATTGATTGATTGATTCAATATCATTTTAAAAAAAGATTAACAAATTACGCATAATTTTAACATAGTCTTATATAATAATTACTTAACAATTATTGGAAAATTTTCTGTCTACTTCGTAAATAAAACATATCATAATATTAAATACTATTTCTTATAAAACTTTGTTTTAAATAGGTTTGTATCATATTTCTAAATAGTAACAGTTATCGTCAAACAGAAACAATAATACTTCAATTAAGTATTTTTCACACTAATTTCATTCTTTTTTTATAATATTTAGAAAATTTAATCTGATAGCGTACCACAAATGTAAAAATGGATGTCGAAATTTTAACAATTCTAAGAAACATGTTTAACGTTAAAAGAATTGCTGTGTTAAAATTAAACATTTTCTTATAAACGTCCAAAAGATACAGTAGGGGAGGATAGGGCAAGGCTAGTTAGTGGTGGTAATGCTTAAATGGTTTATTCAAAAAGCGCGTCATTCATGATATTTTCGTGTCTTAACACTAAGGGGCCATCCATAAACCATGTAGCCTCTTGAGGGGGAGGGGGATCAAGCAATTGACTGCCACAAGAGGAAAAAATGGCGCTAATACATGTAATAGCGTACTACATGGGGGAGGGGGGGTAAAAATTCCCCAAAAATGGGGCTACGTGGTTTATGGACGACCAAACAGATGATATTAAAAATTGGAAGTCAATCTGCCACCATTTGCGAAGTTAGGAGTTTATTTTTATAAAACACCTGTTTTTCTAAAATGTCAACGTAATCTTAATCACGCTTTAATATATTCTTGCTAAACACGAATATCGTATTTATTTTCAATTAAATTCACGTTGTTCCACAAAATTTAGGAAAAATTAAAATATGAGTTCCTTGCTCCCCCATGGGTCAAGAATAGTTAGATCTAGTTTGGCACAGAACAATCCTGCTAATGCGACTGCAAATTATAAAAAAATGTTTAATTGTTCTTTTTAGGTTGATATACACAATGGTGCGTAATTATATACGGAAAAATGAAGTTTATTGACCAAGAAATTGGTGGTCGTCTGAAGAAAATTGGTTAACTCTCAGGTTCTAGTTCAGACCAATTTTTATTCAATAATTAAAATTTAAAAAATATTCAAAACATATTGTTATTGCTTTCCGATATCAATATTGAATAGTCTAAATCCAATAAAATAAAGAAAACGAAAATTTGCTGATTTTTTATAACATGATCCGAAAAATTAAATTACAACCATGACCATTGTGGGGCCCTTATCTTTATAGTATTATTAATATTAAATTATTATTATTAATATTAATAATAAAATTGAAAAGAAATAGTTTGATTCAATTAAATATTTTATTTGTCTATTATCTATTACTTAGTTATTTTTACCAAATACGCATTACTTAGGTCAAATAAATAGAATAATTCGAATTAATAAATATTGCTTCAAATCAATTACACCGACACACAAAAAAAAATTTGATTGACAGGACTGCCATGTGGTAGGTTTTCTTTCTTAAGGTGTATCTAGAGAGAAAAACATTGTCCGACCTAAAAGTTAGTTCGTGTTCTCTTTTTACAGGCTTAGTGGGGGGGTGAAGTTTGAGAAACTGATTTTTATGGGAATTTACTTCATTTCTATAAATCAGATTTTCAAACTTCAAAATGGCGGATCCAATCCGTTGTTAGTTTTTGAAAATTCAAAATGGCGGATGACTTTTTTTAAAATTGATCGGATTCGCTTGAAAATCGTTACTCGGGGGTTTTCGGGGTCGCTGATTACGAATCCGTTGTTAGTTTTTAATAATTCAAAATGGCGGATCAAATATGGCGGATGACTTTTTTAAAAATTGATCGGATTCGCTTGAAAATCGTTACTCGGGGGTTTTTAGCGTCGATGATTACGAATATGATGATAGTTTTTAAAAATTCAAAATGGCGGATCCAATATGACAAATGACTTTTTTAAAAATTGACCGGATTCGTTTGAAATTCCTTACTCGGGGGATTTTGGGCTTGCTGATTACGAATCTGATGTTAGTTTTAAAAAATTCAAAATGGCGG